ATATATATGTATGTATGTATTAAATAGAATTATTAGATTTAAATCTTGTTAAATATAATATTTAATATTTTATTTCTTTTTGTTAATTTTTAGTATTAATAAGTATTTTAAACAAATTTTGTTCATTCATTAGAATTATTAAATATTCATCGACTTTTTGGAATTTTACTTTTTAATTATTACGTATTTAGAAATTAACGAACGTAATAATCTTTTTTTTTTTACTAATTAATTTACATTTCAATGTTCAAATTTTTTTAAATTGCTAATCGTGGAACATTTAATTAGAATTTTTTTTTGAAAAATATTTTATTCATTGCATAATACGTTGCAATGAAATTTTTCTTTATTCAAGAACTAACTTTAATCGAGAATAACCACTAGATTTTTACGGATGTTATGTTTATTACTTTTTAATGACTTACAAACATTGTTTGAATGAGTGATCGAGTAGGTTATTATTACCGTATATTTCATTACATAACAAAAAAGCAACATGTTTTAAAAAAATAATATTTCAATTACATATATATAGTAACACAATTTTTAATAAGTCAAATTGGCTCACAGTACGTAAATCTAGTGTTAAATAAATTTTCTTATCCCGATATTATACAATTTTAGTAATCCTAGTAAAATTGTAGTAATTTTATAGTATCTAAAATGCTATAAAATTTTATAGTAATATAAGTTTTATTAAATTTTTTTTAAATAATATAAATATAATTTTTTTTATTAAATATTTAATTTAATATATTTTTAATTATTATTAATTAAATATTTTAATAAATTAAAGTAATATATTAATATATTTTTATATTAAATATTTATTAAAAATATTAATATTATATATTAATATTGATATTAATTTATAATTAATATTAATATATTTAATAAATTATTAAATATTTTCATTTAATATATTATTAAATATATATTAATATATAATAATTTTATTTAATTATATTATTAATATTTTATTTAAACATTTTTTTATACTAATACATTATAAATATTTAACAATAATTTTATACTAATAAAAATTTATTGTATTTTTGATACTATACAATTTAGTAAAAGTAACACTCTCTATATCGTTTATTAATTTTATCGTATTTTTTGTTTGTACATTTGTTTATTGTTAAAGATAATTATAATTTGAAATGAATTGAACTTACCATCGGGTACAAAAATGTTTAGAAACAAACAATCCTCGCTCATACCAGGATCAGGTTGGTCAGGTGGTAATAATCGTGCGTAAAGCTTCTCATGCAGTTTCAAACGATTTGATACCTGCTGACACGATGGACCATATTCACTAGCGTTTCGTATTCCGTCCCATGATGGAAGAGGATCCGTTACCGGTATGGAAAAACGTAATTGTCCTGTCGGAGGTTGAGCATAAGGTATGCCAAGATATTGTATCACCTTTTGACCTCTACCTATAGTCACCTGAATGAATTAAGGTCAATACCATATATCGTTTAGTTAAATAACATTCTTCTTTTCTTTTTTTTCATTTATTTCTTCGATTATGATATAAAAATATAAATATAATATATGTTTTATTATTAATTATGAACTCTTCCCATAAAAATATATGGTAAATAAATAATATAATAAAATATATATAAAATGTATAATAATAAATTTATATATAATTTATTATAAATCTTTAATATATTATTTTATTATTAATTTAATATAATTAATATATAATTAATATATATTTATATTATTTTTTTATAATATATTTATTATATTATATTATAATTAATACAAATTAATTATAATATATTAATGTATTATATATAATATGTTATAATTAATATTAATATAATTAATATATTATTTTATTATATTTTCATATAATAATATATATAATTTATATATAATATAATTAAAATTATATTATTAATTAACATATTATTTTATTATATATAAATTATATATAAAATATATAATAAATTATAAGTTCGAATACTTGCAAAAAATGTGATAAATATTTGTATATGAAACAAACCTTCTAAATCCGTAAAAAGAATGAATAATAAATGAAGTCATATTAATGTAGAAATTAGGCCAAAAGATGATTAAAACATTTTTTCAGTTACTACTGGGAAGAAAATAATCACGACGTTAAAATCTTGATGCTAGTTTTCGATTATGCTACTTTTACTCACGATTCAAGTTCAATTTTTTTGCTTAGTCAGTAATTTTGTATTTCAATTTCGAATTAATGATCTTTAAAAAAATTGTTAATAATTATTTCGCTTATTAAATTTAACTTTTTGTTTTTTTTCTTTTTTCATCAATTACGTTCTTCCCAATATGTATCATCGTTAAAAGTAGGATTTTTCTGATTCATCATCTATCTTCGCGAATCTACACATACACACACACACACACACACACATGAACACCCACATACACGTAAATAGATTTGAACATTAGTCAAGATTTTGCGTCGAAATTCTAACTATGAAAAGAATTTAAAAATGAAATAGGAGATTGTTATGTTAAATTATAAGAACATTGGAATATTCTTTATAAACGATTATGGGAGGGGAGGGGGTTACGATCTAAAAAGAATAATTGATTATTTTCGAAAGAAAAAACATTTCTCATTTATTTGTAAAAAAAAAGAAAAGAAGAAGATAACGATGGAAAATAAATGGAAGAGAGGTAAATCCATCTCATCAATTTTCAAATAACATAAAATGTTCGCACGTGTTCCTATTTAAATGTAAATTTTAAACTCATCCTTTATATAAAGAGAGTGAGGATATTTTACCACTGAGCACTTTGGTTAAACTTTCAAACGCGGAAAATGAATTTCAAATTGGAATATACGAATCGGGGTGGTGGTTGATCAGTTTGTAAAACATTCAAAGCTTTGCTTTGTTTTTTTTTTGTTTCTTTCTTTTTTGAGTTTCTCTTTAAATAATTAATCTAGGATAAGTAAAATTAAAGTTTTATCAATGATGGAAATTTGTGATTAATAATGGAACAATATATTATTTAAATACATTAAAATTATATTTTATTTATATTTCAGTAAAAAAAAAAAATAAATTGAATCAAATAACCCTAGTAGCACAAAATATTGAAAAATATTGAATACATGTGTAATTAATATTAAATAATATTAAATAATTAAATATTAAATATTTGATATTATTATCTTAACCCTCTGTGGGCCAAATTTTTTTTTTCAATCCAAAAAAATTAGGAGAATTAAAAATCAGCAATTATAAACATGTATATGCAAATGAACCAAAATTTTTYTGTTTAAACAATTTTATTGCAGTATATTCAATATGTGACTTTCAGGTAACAACGGCCTATAATATTCGAACTTTTGTGTATAAAAACTTAAGCGTGAAATTCTACGAAACAGTTTTCACTTGACGTTACAAATAAATATATATAAATATACTTCATCTTTTCGCACGTCCTTTGATGGAAATATTGTACTTGGTCATCTTTTTATATTCTTTAAAATTGTTTATCTACATTGGTGGAAAAAAAGGTCCTTTTTTTTACGGATTCCTTTGTACTCCTGACGTAGACAGGATGCAATTTTAATTTTAAATGGTAATAAGTTAAATTGATTCCTGGGTCTTACAGAATGCAATGAACAGTTTTGCTTATATAACAGCTAAGCATTGACCACCGGTCTAACTTATCTATTTTTTTCGTAAATATTTATCCTTTTAGAATCTTTGAATCTTTTCCGCAAATAAAACTGATAAAAATGGTCAAGAATTTTTGCTGCAACGAATTCTTCAACTATTTCCAACATTCGATGGAACACAAAAGCGTGATCCTAAATATACAGAAGATTTCTTTATAGGCCAATGTTACTTCAAAGTAACAGAACTTTATCATAAAAAAATATTTAAAAAATGATATTTGAAATGCAAAAAAATTAGTCTTTATGGATTTTCCAACTCAGAACTACTATATAAATAATTTTTTATTCGGTAAATACCGACAGAAACAAAAATAATATCAATGAAAAAAGAAGGTTTCACTTGCTTTTACTACAGACAGTTGGTACAACATTTATTTTGTTATTTTATGTTAATTATGCTAGTAACCATCATGTATATGGTATTAGTTGTCTCGGAAAGATTTAAAAATTAAGATGAATATGACATTTCATTAAAAAAATTAAAATTGTTTAGTAAAATGCTGAAAAATGAATATGTTACTTAAAAGTTACACGGGCCCATAGAGGGTTAATATAATAATATTAAATAATTTTAATTATAATAAAATTAAATAATTAATATTTAATTATATATTTAATATTAATTAAATATTAAATACACATGTGCATTCAATATTTTTCAATATTTTGTGCTACCAGGGGTTTTGATAAATCTAACTTTCGAACAATTTTTCATCAACTAATTTAATACAAAACGAAAATATAATGAATAACAATAATAAAGTAGTAATACCTCTTTGCCAGCAACTATTCCTTGATTAGGTATTATGACAGTGGGTTGAACACGACCCAATCCTTGTCGTGCGTAAGTATTTTGACTATGACCGAATGAAATCCTGTCGAGAAGGATACAAATGTAAACGACGCGTTGAATGAAAATTAATAGGATTAAACAAGGACCTCTCATTTTGTTCCTTTCTTTTTAATTTTTTGAACAAATAAAAATAAAGAATTTAATGATCAACCATTTCCCCCGTTTTTTCTTTAAAATAAGGTTTATTATTATTATATTATTATTTCGTGTGTAGAGGTTTTTTTTTTCCTTAGTTACTGCGAAGAGCTACACTGCAGAATGATAAAGTTCGCGTGACTCCCGTCCACCTTCCACAACTTGCTCCACGTTCCGCTCATAAACGACGCGGTACGGAACCAGAGACTTGCGCTCTTTGACCTCTCTTTCCTAACTTTCCTTGCTAACCCTCTATTGTTCAACCCCTTTTTATCCTTTACTTACCCCCTCTCTTAGGTTAACTCTCAACTTTATTAACCTTTTTCGTCGAATCCGGATTTACGTCAACGTTATACTACGTTTCGGGTTTTCCGTTTCAGGACACTTGATCATCATTGATAAGAACAACCCCCCTTTTATTATAGTGTTTTTATTTTTTTTGATGGTTTTAGGACTAACTGATTAATTTTTATTCAATGATAATTATAATTGGTTATAAATAATTAATAATATTATATTATATTAATTTATATATAGTATATAATATTATATTATATTTTTTATTATATATTATATTATATTAAATACTATATATTTTATATTATATTTTATAATATTAATTATATATATATTATATTA